CGCCCCCCCCCCCCCCCCCCCCCCCCCCGGTGGGATGGGGGAGAGAATTGGAAGAGTAAAAGTGAGAAAACTCGTGGGCTGAGATAAGAACAGTTTAATAGTTGAAATAAAATAAAGTAAAATAGTAATAGTAGTAATAATAATAATAATAGAATATACAAAGCAAGTGATGCATGATGCATTTGCTCACCACCTGCCAACCAATGCCCAGCCAGTCCTCGAGCAGCGGCCCCCCCGGCCAGCTTTCCCCCAGTTTATGTACTGAGCATGACATCACATGGTATGGAATGTCCCTTTGGCCAGTTGGGGTCAGCTGTCCTGGCTGTGCCCTCTCCCAGCTTCTTGTGCACCTCCAGCCTTCTCAGTCGGTAGAGCACGGGAAGCTGTAGAGTCCTTGACTAGCCTAAGCACTACTTAGCCACAACTAAAACATCGGTGTGTTATCACATTATTCTCATACTAAATCCAAAACACAGCACTGTACCAGCTACTAGGAAGGAAAATAACTATCCCTGCCAAAACCGGGACAGCTCAATATGCTGTCTCCACTTTTCACTGGGTACATCAATTCTCCTGGAGTATTGTCCATCCACTGAAGGAGGTGCATCTGTTTCCTTTCATATTTACTCCTCTACAACAGCTACAAAATTTCGTCTTTCATTTCCTATGTTTGCTTTTATTTTGTCTTGCATTTCTTCTCTTGCTTTTTTTTCTGTAACATGAACCCATACATATTTCCTTTTCCCCTCCATTTGTATTGCTTCCCCCAAGTGCTTGTGGTTTTCCTGTCCACTCCAACATGCATGCTCTTTCCTCCTTTCATTGAAAGCATTATGAATTGCTCACCTTTCCTCTTGTGCCATGCACCGTGTATGTAATTTTGTTGCCTTTCCTTTGTAAATGACTGCTTGTGTGCATATTTATTTGTCATGTCACTTTTCCCCAAGAAGTAACGCATATTTTCTTTTCAACAATATACTGTGTGTAAGCTTATGCTCCTCCCAACCCTTACCAAAAAGTATTGCCTCTTCTTTCTTGTTAGCAACAGGGCATAGTGATAAGTGGTGTAATTTTTGGTCTTGCTGCTGAGCAGAGCGGGACTCTGGATGTTCATGTATCTGTCACTGGTTCCCTCTTTAGGAGGTATGCTAGGGTAGAAACTCTGCTCTAGCTCTAGAGTTCTTAATAATCCTTGCTGGATGGTGGACATTCCATAATTGCCAGTTAATCCTTTCTAATAATTGGCTACTTTCAAAGAAAGGGAATACTCAACATTTGTTATTACTTGGATATAACTTCTTTATCTGAGTTTTAAAGTTAAAAGAGTAAATTCACTCTATCAAAGTAATAGTTGCACATTCAACTGCAATATTTGTAATAGCAGTAAAAGAAAACCTAAGATGATTGTAACCTACAATTACTTTTAATGATTAGGTTAGTTTTTATCTCCTTCAGTGTTACAGCATTTAGGGGTTTGGAAGGCTTACAGTTTAGCCCTGTTGCAGGGTTAGTTTACCCCCCCCCCCTTTTTTTTTAAATAGTACTTGTTTTAGCCTGTGGAGAACCAAAGCACTGAACTTTTCTGCTCTCCCTTCAACTGTGTTACTTCAGCTTGATCTCTCTTATTTGTCGTAACCAGAGTGTTTTTCCTGCTTCTCTTATTTTGTCTGTATATTTCCAGTAACTGAGAGACAAAGTAGTGCCTTTTTTTCTTCCTCCTCTTCGGATGTCTGATTACTACCTTCTTTCTCCTTAGTTTTTCTTAATTTGCATTTCCATTAAGTCCCTTAACTGTAATTTTTATTAAAAGTTGTAATCTGGTTCTTCCTTTTTAAAACCTTCTCGATGAAGTGTTACAAGTTGAATACCATGAGAAGTATAAATTATATCTACAATTTGAAATTCATGATCTGTCTCAATGGGGATAGCTCAGTGTCCCTCAGTGACAATAATACAGATGACAGTTGGCATTAAGGACATTTTTCTACATTAACTTCACCTCCTCCCATTATTTCTGGGTGTTCTACTGTCACACTTATGCACTTGCTCTCCCTGGAAAAGAAATTGTGAGTACTTGGTCTTTTTCCATTCAGCTGCATGTGACCATTTTTGTGCATGCACACGCACTCTCACACACTTAAATATTTTCCTTTACAGCCCTGAAGAAATCATGTGTAGGCATGCATGACTGCTTTCCCTTCCCCCAAACCTAAAAAAATAATAATAATAAAAAAATTAAAAAATGCATGCAGCATTTTTTCTCCTCATTTTACAGGTACTTTATTAAACATATCTGTGTTTTTTTCTCCAAAACAGCTCTCATAAATCCAATAAACACCCATGCCTTTGGTTTATTTTGGGATTTTTTTGCCTCTCTGATCCCAGTAATATGTGGTGTGCAGTAGTCCTTTCTTTCCTTCCTCTGATGCTACCTGTGCCTCCATCCTACCTTGACAACCAGTCATGCATGTCCTTGCATTTCCCCCACCCAGCAACCAACTTTGTGTGCCCTTGTGCTCTCCTTATTCTCTTGTCATAGATCTACAGGCTTTGCTTGAGATCCCTGACATTGACATACTCTTTCTGCGAAGCCCTTGTGTAGCACTGGTCATAATTCTCTTTGCAAAGCTTAGTCATGTTGGTTCTTTGGCTTTGAGACTGGGCCTTTGAATTGAAGCCATTCGTTTGTCTCTGGTGTTCCCAGTGAGGTCTGTCTGTAGACCAAATGTTCCAAGGTCTTCATTTGATCTAGCTTGAATGTGTGTACATCCCATTTTGATCCAGACTTTTTGTTTTCCCATTAGAAAAAGTAATGCCCATTTGGTGATTCTGTTCGTCTCCCTAAGGCACTTTAAGTTGTATCCTGTATTTCTGTCTAGTTCCTGATAGTAGCTTCTCCTATCACCATTGTTCAATTTTTTCTCGTTTCCTCAGCTTGCGTATTTCTCTTGAGCCTCGTGTTTGCATGTGTTTGGGTTTTGGGTTTTTTTTTTCTTTCACTGTGTACCCACAGCAAGTCCTGCAGTCTCTTTTCCCTGTTCCGAAGGGGAAAAAAATGAATAAAACTCCTTGCCTTTACTGCCTTTGTTCTGGTGGCAAAGCACGCACTTTCATTCTCTCCTCAAACATACATGGATGCTTGCACTCTTTAAGACAAACTCTGGCTTTTGTGTACCTTATCAATATGCTGCATGTAGTTGCTTCCCCTGGTGACAGCTTGTGTACATGAGGCGAGTATGAGTTCTTGTGACTTGCTGAGGAAAGAAAATAGGAGTTACACATTATTTTTCTGAAAGAGAGGATGGAAAATGACAGACATGCATAATTTGTTATACCTGTCTCTACCATGAAGACAGTGAAAAGTCCTTATGCCTCATTTATCTTTATCCACAAAAATTATCCCTATGCTTGCATTTTCTGTCTCTCTCCCAACAAAAAATTATTACACTTTCCTTTCTGTGAAGATAAATCATAGACGCGAAAGCTTTCTTTCTCACCTGCTTCATTGACGAACCAAAAGCAGTTTCTTTCCTTGGGACAACACATTTCAAATACAGATTCTTTTTATCTCCCTAAGAAGTTTCTTCCACACCTGTTTCCTTTACCAAACTGTACACGTTCTTCCTTTTCTACCCTCTCCGTAAGTATATATACATACTTCCAGATGCTTTCCCTGACATGTAGCCACAGCCTTTTCTCCCTGTTTCCTTTGTATGCTGTCCTCTCTCATTCCTTCTTCCTGATGGTCCCCACGCTCTCTAATCTTCTCTTACCTTCTTAGGTGATATCTTGATTCCCCCCATTTGTTATAGGTGAGCTCCTCTGGCGCTGCGGCCCGGGATGGCCGTCTGAAGGTGGGAATGCGGATCCTGGAGGTGAATCATCAGAGTTTGCTGGGAATGACACATACAGAAGCAGTACAGATACTCCGAAGTGTGGGTGATGCGCTGCTTGTGCTAGTGTGTGATGGCTTTGATCCCAAGGCTGCAGCTGCCATTGAGGTGAGAACTGAAGTGCAGGGTGCCCTCATAGTGACCAGTACCACAAGGATCCCACCTCTTTCTTCACAGAAGATTGCTGGATTTTTCCAGCCTTTTGCTGTAGATTTTTTTTTTTTTTCCTGAGGTCCCAGATTTCAAAGTCTAGTCTCCTGCTATATGAACTGGAGGTGGTTGCCAGTTCATAAAAGCAATAGTCTCTAAAGACTGTCTCTCTTCTGCTGATTACAGAAGTGTTTCACAATATCACTGCACTGGTTAGAAATGTAGTTTTCAAGCTAATTTTCTCCAGGCTATTTATGCCTATTTTTTTCTTGGCTGATGTTATAGTCTGTCTGTTTATTGGTGTTTGCCTTTCCCCACAGGAAAACACTTACCCATAGCAATCCTGTGCCTTCTCAGCTTTTTTTTTCAGGGCTTAGCAAGTAAGCTTTTTTATTCTCCACTAGAATATATTCCCAATCCCTGGTCACCTTATCCCCTTTCTGTACCTGTTTCAATTTAAATTCATCTTTCTTAGACCTCAAGTTCCTTGAGTAGTTGACAACTGAAATAAGGTTTCAAGTTGTGAAAGAGTTCTGACTTGCCTAGGATCATCTTGGTACTCTGTATGTGGGAGCCCAGGATATGGAATTTTTTGTATGGCACACTGTGGGCTTCCACCATGTTTTATTGCCTTTTTGCTTTGTAGATGTCCCCAGGAATTATTGCAAACCCTTTTGCTGCTGGTATTGGGCGCAAGAATAGCCTGGAAAGTATCTCTTCTATTGATCGGGATTTAAGCCCTGAAGAACTGGAGATCCTACAGAAGGTGGGTATTCTGGCTGCAACTGGGAGAATGTTATGGAGGGGAAAAAGTTTCTGAAAATCTCTAGTGTCTCCCTTGGTGTATGGAATCTGCAGCATAATGGGTAGTGGACTTCCCTTTTATGGGATCAGCAGGTCCCAGCACTTCCATCACAAATGCGCTAGGATGGGACTCTGAAATCTTCATGAGGTTACAGGTGCTCCGAGTGGGGAGAGAGCACTGGGTTGAAGTGGCTCTAACTTTGGTCTCTCCTAGGAGATGGAAATGGTGAGAGAAGCAACTCAATGGGAGAGAGAAGAAATGGAGAAAGTGGTGAGAGATTTTTCATGTAGCAGAATCTGTTCTCGACAGTGGTTCTGCCAAGCCTGTGAGCCCTACGGAAAATGCTACAGATTATCTCTACCCAATCGTTAATGCCATGGGGGGGCTTTGGGCCTTCTCTCTTCGTAGTGTACCGCTCAGTTACTCTAGCTGCTTTTTGGCTTTGCCATACCTTCCTGTGTACCTCTTTGGTGGTACTTCTCTGTTATTTACAGAGTTCATCTTTGTTACCTGCTGGCACCTTCTGGCCAAGCTGCAGCTTTGAGAAAAATGGCCTATTAGCATGGAAATCCCACATTTAATCAGTTCTTTCAATACAGTACTCTATGAGCTGACAAGAGCTTTTATGAGCAAAGATGAGAATGCACAGCTCAAAGTTGCCCTGAATTGAAGAAGTGGCAGTGTTAATCAATCACAAGTTTGTGCTCCTTAGTTTGCATGATCGTTTTTCTGATTTGTTATGAGAATTTTGTATTTCTGCCCACTATTTCAGCCTTTCACAGAAGTAGATTAGCAGAGTCAAGCTGCTTGAGGACTTGGGTTTTCTAGTTATATCCCTCTTAAAACTGATTTATTCAGTCAGATTCTTTTGGAAGATGAGGGAAAATTTAATTCTTCAGTATTGTCAATTTGGAATCTGCTCTCCTGGCAGATAAGTATGTGCACTTATGCAGGCACCAATTTAGATATGGTTTCCAATTTAGATATGCCTAATATTTCTCTAGGTTCTTTCTGCAGTTGTAATAACTCAGCTTTTTTTTTACATTTGCTACCCCACAAGAGTGTAGTTATGTTGGCAATTCTGGATGGAGGTGATCTTTATAATTTAGTTAACACTTGAGATTTTACTTGTTTTGGAAAAAATAGTCAAGGTTTTGAATAGACAATGGCACAGACTGTAAGAGGACAGGGCAATGAACGAGAAAATGGCCGTATGACCTTTCAGGCATTAATCATTAAATATACATATATATTTCATATTTATATAATCCTACTCTGCCTTCTGTCAGTGACTGCAGTGGGCTTTTATGAAAGATTGAGGTAGAGAGACAAAAGAGGTTCAGTGTGTTGCAGACTCCTTTTGGAAACTTTGCTTTATATTTGCTGGCCTACAGCTTAGATTGATGTCAGCATGTGCAGGAATAAGACAAGGGATTTCTGTCCTAAGTATCTGCAAGGTGTTCTGACGGTGTTTGAGACCTATACTTAGATGGGAATTCTTCCAGTGGAATGACCTTATAGAATAATCTTCAACCTGATCTAGTTGAAGATGTCCCTGCTCATTGCAGGGAGGATGGACTAGACGACCTTTAAAGGTCCCTTCCAACCCAAACTATTCTATGATTCTACGAATAATTTGGGTAGGAAGGGACCTCTACAGGTCACTTGGTTCAGCTCAGAGCAGAGCCAATTTAGATCAGATTTAGGCTTTTCCTATAAAATGTCTTGTTCCTTGCCTAGGAAGGAACTGAGTGTGGTTTGTTGTGGTTTCAGAAAACCTGATTTTGTAGTGTTACTGTTACAGCGAAGGGTATTCCTACCAGTTTTATCTTGGTAGCATATGGATCTGAATACTCTCTCAGAGAGTTCAGGTGCTATGAGTCATTATCAGCATTTCTAACACCTCTGGATAAACCAAGAGCAGTCTGGCCCCAAAACCATGCTGCTGTGCCTGAGCAGGTTGCATTAGTTCAGTCTTAGGTAGATAAAGGCTTTTCCAAAATTTATGCTGCGATTACTTAAAAATACTCCAGAGACTTTGTAAAAAAAACAGAAAAACCTTTATGATTGGTGATGTAGCCTTGGCCATATCTCATTTTAAAAAGTGCTGATGGTATTATGATAGCTTTTTATGGAAAACTTGAACTTGAAATTTTATTAAAATGGTTAATTTAAAAGAAAAAAACTTAGCAATAACTAGTCACTCAGCCATTAGCAATATTTCAAAACAATTGTGGGCATCTTAAAGCAAATATCATTATTCCTTCTGGAGGCTGAACAATACACAGTAATTGTGGTTCATCTTTCTTGGATGTTTTACTTCTGACAGATTTTAAAGCAATATTCTGAGGTTGCAGTGACATGTATTTAAGGACTTCTAAGGTTTATATTCCCATATACTGCCTTTTCTCTCACTATAGTGTGGCTTAGTATAATTGCAATGTTGTCTGTCCCAACCTCTGAAGAGCTGAGAAGTATGCCTGTAGCCTGGTGATCAGCAGAGACCAAGACACCTCTCCAGAACTGCCTGTGTCTTTAAAAGATTTCATATGTTTTGGTGCCACTTCCATTAGGGTACTGGGAGGAGGTAGCAATGGATGCTACAGACTCCTCTGACGTCTCGGGATCCATGGCCTGAGACCCAAGAGCAAAGACATGTTTTTCTGCTGTTGCCGTTTAGTGTGACCTTGAAACTGGGATTCTGTCTCTTAATACCGGTTTCGATGATTAAATTTATGCCAGTGATGGAGCCAGCACTGTATGGTAGCCATTGTAATGCCGTAGGAAGTTCCCACCTCAGTGCCAGATCCTCAGTAGTACTATTCATGTCACCATTTTTGGACTTTTCCTCTAATACTTCAGTGATTTATGTTCAGTTTTGCACAAGAGTGATAGAGATCAAACATGTCTCCTTACAGTAAGGTTGTGAACTCAAGAAATGGGAAGAATTTTGGCTTTGCTATACTCACCATTAGTCCTGTAGAGGTTTTCAAATGCCACTGTTGCACTTGCTGCATACATATCTCAAGTTCAGTTCTTTGATAATTCAGTTTCTAATAGCAATATTAGTAACTCCAAATCTCCACAGACTGATTCATGGTGCATTTCTCTATCCCAACTCTGTAGCTGTAGTTATTTTTCTAGCTTTAATCCAGAGCTTCCCCAGGCTCCCCAGATGTTGTCAGAGATGAACTTTGAACATTCCACAGCTCCGTCTGGGCTGGCTGGCAACTCTTGTCTCTCTTCAGCTTAAGACCTCAGAGAAGGATCACATACAAGATTACTGTCAGCTTCAACACTCACCTTACAGATAACACTTGTCCAAAATAAGCGTAACCAGATTCAGAATAGACTCTAGCTTAAATATCCCTAAATATCCCTTTGGGTCCTGTGATCCTCCAGAGCATTAGTGTCTTCTCATGTTGCTCATTATTGTCCGGAGATCGGGGGTGTGATACGGGACACTGATTATTTGCTAGTGGTAATGCATAGAAGCTTTTGAAGAGAAAGGCCTAGGTGCTTATCAGAATTTTCAGTTAGCTCCCTCTGTATTTCTCAGATGCCTTCCACCTCCCATCCTTCCAGCCTTGGGACTTCTGGACCATCTGGTTGCTGCTGTTTGGGAGGAGCAGTCAGGAGGGTTGCAATACGCAATAGAACGGAAGAATGATGCTGCTTTTGTCCACAGCCCTCGCTCTGCAGCATAGGTGCTGGGCAAAAAGTCACAAAAGTATAAATGCACAGAAATCATTCTTTAAGACAAGTAACACATTATTACCTTCCTCTTGCAGCTTGGAAGCAAGCCCATAGCTGGGGCTTATGAGATTAGTCACTGGTCACTGTTACAATATTCCTGTGCTGCACTGAATGACTGAGAGCTGACCAGCTGATTTTAAGCCCTGCCTTATGCTTATACAATTTCTGTCTCTATATATAGCCTTTTGGCTGTGATGCTATTAACAAGCATGTGATTTTTTTAGGTCTTTTTCCTTAGTGACAACTAGGCCTGTGCTCTGTAGATGTGTTTTTCCTTTCCCTTCTAGCCTCTCCAGTCCATGCTCTGTCAAGATGTCTCTTCTAGCAATAAGCAATCTTCTCTTTTCCCTTGGTGATGGCATAGCTTGTGCTTGGGGGGGTGGGGCGCTTTAGCTCCCTTCACTTTTCCCCAGGATTGACTCTGCTGAGAATCTTAGAGACATCTGCTCTCTTCCCTTCATCTGGTGACACCCTGGCTTGTGTTGTATGGGGTGTCTGTTCCTGGCCATTTTACTGGCAATAACCGAGCTCATGCAGAATTCCAGCTCCTCTTTCCCCGGGTCCAACGTATGTGCTGGGTTTCTGCTCGCCCTCTCCTGGCACCAGTGCTGTTCGTGCTCCTCTGTCCCCCCTCTGGAGTTACTGCCCAGCATGGTGCTGACTTCTTTTCCTCTCTCTTTGCCTGTGCTGCTTGGATGCTGCTCTGACTCTGTCCTGTCTCATGGAAGGAGTGGATGCGTAGGGAGCGGGAGGCAGCCACACAGCAACTTGAGGAGGAGGCAGAGGTGAGGAGCACGGTGGGAGGATTGGAGAGTTGCAGAAAAGGGCCGCAACTGGACTTGAAGGCCGGAGAAATCTCTAAAAGTGCTCATTCCCTCTAACTTCTGTTCTCCGCTCCCCCCTGCAAAAAGACTTGACTTTTGGGTATAAGAGAAGATACCAGAAATTAAGAAATCTGTAATGTGATTGAGGAAGGAATGGTGAAAAACAATGGCTATAATTAGAAAGGCAGACAAATACAAATGGGAAGCAAAATCAAACGAAATGATACAATGAGTGTGAGTTAAGGTTAAGAAAAGATACTGCAGAGGAATTGTAGATTTGCACTATCACGTCTCCAAATCCAGACTGGAAGCCTTTCTGGATGCTATTTGGAGAAAACTGGTATGTATGTCACATTCTCCTCTCCCCCTATAAGGGAGTAGACATGTGCATGTTGGGGGCAGGAGGAACAGTGGGGGTCTGTGCACCAGTGGGTGACCAAGGGCCCAGAGCGACGTGTTCTCTGCAGTATTTCTCAAGCCCGGCCTCTGTCATGGGTCCCCATGATTGTATTTGGAACAATTCCAGGTTCATTTCCAGGCAATGGGAAATTTCTGCAGAGTTTGGAGATAAGGCCTTGGTTATTACTAGGGGTGGTTTCGTTTTAATTGCTCTTTCTAGTTGATTTAGTTGACTTCTGGCCTGATCTCTTCCTGGTGTTTGTGTTTTTTTGCTCCCCTCCTTGCCTCTCTCCAGAATATCACCAGTGAACCTTTGAGACTGGACTATCGGACCCTGGCTGCTTTGCCCAGCAGTGGCTTACAGAGAGTCAATCGCACTGTAAGTGAGGGGCTGTTGAGATATGGGGTCCCTGTGTGGGGGAAGCCGTGGTCGTTCTGTTACCTGCCCTCTCATTGTGCCCTGGTGTGAGAGATGACAGTACTCTCTGCAGAGGAAAACTGGGAAGCAGAACTGTGGTAGACTTTGACACTGAAACAGGAGGTAGCGACAAAAGAAAGATTAGAATAAGAAAATGAGGAGAGCAGAGAGCCTGGTCGCTTTCCATTTTGGAAAGGGAAGTGGCCTGTGTAATTGCTGAGATGCAAAAGGAAGTGTCTCAAACAAGGCAGAAGGAACAGCCCAGCAGGAGAGAAGGATACATGTGAATGGGAGAGTGCAGGGGATTTATCATGGAAGGAAGCAACTACTGAAAGCTACAGAGGAGGGAGGGGAAGATTCTTCCTGACACAGAAGATGACAATGTTGGGTGCACAGCTTAGTTGTAAATTCATTATGAGATGTTTAGAAAGGAGGTGTATCAGCAGGGTGCTGATACCAAAAGTATTAAAAGAAAGGCAAGATCCATCTAGGACTGCAGAAGGCAAAGTGGCAGTGACTGCATATCATGACTTAGCCCTGATACAGCCTTTGGATACTCCTGCCCCTGTGACCTGCATTTCAGTCCCCATATGTAGTGACAGAGAATATCCAGATTTCACAAACTTCACAGATTACGAAGTCATCTGTCTCGCCTGTGTTGTTTAAAATCTCACCTCACCTCTGCATCTTTGCTTCCTTTGGTCATGTTTTATCTTCCCTGCATCGCACCTATTCCACTGGGTTTCTGCCTGCTCCTTCACATACATCCTCAGTCTTCACCTCCATTCCTTTCCTCCTATTGCAGCAAGACCACCCTTTGCTGTCATCATCAGATTCTGCATTCCCATTCCATTGTTTCAAGATCATCTCTTTTACCTTTACTGTCTCCATTTCATTCCATCCAGACAGGTCTCCTCTCCTATTCATCTATCCTCTCGTTGACTTCAGGCCCTCTTGCTTTTGTGCTTTCACACTGATTAGAGACCTGCTTTGTCTCCAGCTTTGTCTCATTTTGTTCCTCCCCATACTCCCCAGCTTTTGGGTCTTCTCTCCCGGCTGTTCACACAGAAAAGTATTATCAGGAAAAGGTTTAATGTATTTTTAGCATCTCTTAGTGTAACTTAGTAGCTGGAAACAAGGGGAGAGCCAGCCCCATGCAAGCATCTGCCTCTTTGCTGGACAGACCTAGTGTCATCCAAAGCAGAGCAGCATTTGGGAACTTGTGCCTTAGCAGTTCATGTCAGCCCAGGAACGCCTGGCACTGGAATGTGGGGCCGAACACACTGGAATGCCGGGTTGTATGGGCGGCATCTATAAATGTCCCATTTCAGGGGAAGGGCCGATTGGTGCCCATGTTTATCTTTTTCCAGCTGTCATTTGCCCAGCCCTGTCTTTGCTCTGATGAAAAAATATGTCTGCCTAGATTGTGACTACAGGGAGATATGGGCTTCAAGGACAGCAAGGTTCTGGCATTCCTTCAGGAGCTGCACCTAGCCTATTTGATGACTGCCTGGAAGACTCAGACATGGATCAGTCTGGCCAGCAGAAAAGCATGCGGTTCAATTAACAGGTTGTCTATCTCCAGGCAGTATGACTGGATTAAGATGGCTAATGCTATTGCCCAGTTCCCATAGTATTTTTCTCTTTCTTCCTATCTCTAGGCCAACTTTCTCACTCACTCCTCTAAACAGTGTCTACATATCTTTTGTTGCTACATAGTTCCCTGAAAGGGAGTTGCAGGGCCTGCTGTTCTTCACACTGTTGAACAGGAGGAAGTGCAGACCTCTGTCGTGACTGCTATAGATTGCAGGTGGAATTTGTCATGAGGATTCCCCAAGAATTGCCCCTAAAGAAGGGGGCAGATGGTTGTCTATCTTGGATTAATCTGTATTGCTGTGTGTTGGTCCTTTTGTGAGCAAAATTTAACAAAGGCTTACTGAGATGCAAGCCTGTTTTGTTTGTGTACTTTTAAAACCCCAGCTGAAAAATTCCAGTTGAAAGCTGCATGAGAATGCTCATCTCAGTGATGCCCTTCAGCTGTGCCAGCTTCTCAGTAACTTGATGTCTGCAGAGTACCCAGTGCACTACAATGTCTGGATACTGCCATCACAGTAATAGAAGAGCTATTATAGTCTCTGTCTTCTGCATAGTACAGGCTTGAAAACCATACCCATGAATGACTACATCTAGCCACAGCAAAACGTTTAAAATCTCCTTTTGCTTTCTGGACTATAAGAAATGGAGATGACTTTACATCTCTTAGTAGCGTGTCACCATGGTTAGTTGATTAACAATCTGTACTTTCTAGTCTGAGTCTATTTCTGTTCAATTTCTAGCCATTGATTCTTTCTCTGTACTTGTTCATTAAATTTAAAATTAGATTAGTTTCAGTGTCTGGGGCAAAGTGATGGATCAGAACTGCAAATGCATTTCTTCTGTATTTGCCTTAGAGGATTCAGAGTAAAACATGATTGTCCTGTCTGCTAGACTGGGGAGTGACAGAGGCAAGGCTGGGAAAAGCACTCTGCATTACCAAAATCTTTGCCTACCCAAAATAGAAATTGTTGTTTGTCTGATAAAAATAGCCCACTGTGAAGTAGAGGGAGCGAGGCATCTTGCACTGGAATACACTGCTCAAGCAGAAGCATTGGAGATTAAAGGGAGGGGTAGATGAAGCTCGGTTCCAGTCATGTCCATGAACAAAACAGGGATTGAGGCTCCCCATGGACTATCAGACTTCACGCAGTCTTGGTGACATGCCCATCTCCACAGTGCCCTAAAAGTGTTGTTTACTTTTTCACTTTGTGCGAAGCAAAGTAGGCTTTGGTGGTGGGATTCACCTGGAACCCAGGTTGGTCAGTGTTTGTGCTCTTCTGCTTGGCAAGGGAAAGCAGCAGTGGTGTCAGAGGGGTCAGGCTGTAGGACCAACAAACCCACTTTGCGGTGGTGGATTACTGGCAGTGTTTTCATTACAGCATCCCCAATGAACAAATAATGTTCCTGAAAGTACTTTTTGCGTGGCATAACTTTATGTGCACTAGAGCTCTTGCTAGTGTAGTTTATGGCACTCTGGGAAAAGAAGGTTCGAATTGGGGTGGGGGGTTGTTTGGGTTTTTTTGGTAGGGTTTTTTTACATTGGAAAGTCGCATAGCTACAATAACAAAATTTCTAAGGGTAGCACAGGCTTCGACTGTCTGCAGAAATATTATATAGGCGAGGGCTCTGCCAACCACTGCTTTAGGTTGGGTTGGAGTTGAGAGGGGTTAGGGGAGGGCCTCAGAAATTCCTGAGCCTCTCAGCTGCCATTGTAGTCACCAGCCCACCCAGCCCTTGAGAGCTATTTTTGTGAATGCTGCCATGACACAGGAGTTGGAGAATGTGTTCTGAGCAGAAGAGGTCTTTCTGCTCCCCAGCAGGCACTTGGATAGAAGGAGATTTGATCATTGCTCTCTGATTATCTCTGCTTCCCTGAAGAAGGCTTTGGCTGGGGTAACAAACTCTCTTTTATAGTATTAAAAGAGGAATGGTCAGTGTTTCATCTTGGATGGGTACAGTTGAGCCTAGGCAGACCTGGAGCTCTGTTTCAGTCCTGCCTTCAGTAAGGGTGCTCAAAGAGATCTGTACTCTGTTAGCTGTTGTTTAGCTCTCTGTTACTTGTTGGTGTGTATTTTGATGAAGTGGGGCCGTAAAAGCATGTTTGCCCATGCAGGTGTGATGGAAATGCACAGGGTAGACAATATGGTGATAACTGTGTAACTGTATGGAAATGCATTGGAGTGAGGTGAGAGCTGTTATTCTGCGTGACAGTGCTGGAACTACTTGAAAGTATGCTGGGGTGAGACAGTTGATGTTTGGCCATGTGATGGTGGAGTTGAATTGAGGATGTGCTGAAGTGAGATGGGAGAGGATGTGTGCTTGTGCAGGTTTTGGCAATCAATTTTGCTAGAGAGCAGCAGTGTTACTGGTGAGCTGCTGAAGTGCAGGCTGGAATGTGTACGAGAGCTGGAAAAGTGGAGGGAGTGTGCTTGTGCCTGTCAACTACTTGGTGTATGTATTGCATGCTGACAGCAAGGTCCTCTCTTGGAAGTAGCATTTGGGATCACAAGATTGTTGGTAGACTAGAAGAGAGGGAAGGGATGGTCGTGTGGGCATCAGTACTGGAATTCTTCTCTCCCCTGTCCTTCAACATCAGTAGCCGCTCTGTATTTTCTCCCTCCTCTCCTTTACTCTGTTCTCCTTATTTCTTTCTGATCCTTTTGTTTTCCTCTCAGCTTGTTCAGTATAATAAGGCCAGCTCCAGAATGGAGGGTGACTGCACTATGCTGTCTCTGCCAGTGGCACAGGACAGCCGGGATTCATACCCAGAAACAGCTGCAGGCCCGATCATCAGAAGCATGGCTGGCCTTCCTCAGGACCCTGCATCACCTGACAAGTGCACAAGTGGGGCAGAAAAGCCCCAACTAGACAAGCAGGATCCCACGGGTTGCCCCTTGTCCCAGGACCAGATGCCAAAGACACCAGAGCAAGAGTGTATGATCGACTCTCAGCCGATCCTCTTCAGTGAGAACCCCTTTGTGGTGGCTAACCGCAAGGGGAAAGCAGCAGGCAAGGCTTGCCTGGGGGGCCCGCCCCTGGGCTATGGCAGGGGGGGAGTGCTGAAGACCAACCTTTACTCCAAGGCAAGCAGTCCCACGGCATGCTGTGTGTGGCATGCAATCATGCAGTTAAGGCCATCTGCATTCTACTAAACCCCTGCGCATGCACTGGACCCCAGATGCCAGGCAGCACGAAGCCTGTGCGGGGGCTGGTCCCACCTAACACATGTGCTTCTCCAGTGTTCTGTGCAGAGGCTGTCAGTTGCTGATGGTCAGTGAATTGTCTTCCAGCCACTAATGTACCCCAGTTATTGCCAAGTGTGCATGCTGCTGAGTCCCTCTTTGAGGGGAGGCAGTGATGTCAGGCGACTTCCCCAATGTCTCTATGGGTGGGCAAGAGTCAGGCTAGGAGCAGCGGTGTTCCCTGTCTGCTGTGGTTGTGAGGAGGGAGTTGGCAGGGCTTGTAGAAGAATGGTAGTGGCGTCACGCTTATGTATCTGGGCTTGAACAAACACAGCTGTTTTTAGACTTCTGAAAACTAAGAGGCAGTGCAGCTGACATAGTTAATCTACAGCCCAGGAGCATGCTGTTCCTTGAAGTGACACATTTCAGTATATCTAGACGTTCAGATTTCAAGGGAGAACTTTGCTTTCTGCTCTGGGAAATCTGTTTAACTTTCTCACTGTTGCACAGGAAATCTGTGGCAGAGCAAGGACTAGACCCAAAGATACTATGTTCCAGATTAGCACCACACCACTCTCACCTTCTTCCTTTCTCAGCCTTTCGGGAGGTCTGAAAAGCAAGAGAAGCAAAACAACTGCAAACAAACAGCCCACCCCCACCCCCCCCCCCCCCCCCCAAACAAAAAAACCAAACAATCAAAACACCCAGCTGTAGTTCTCTTAGACGTTTTTAGCCTAGTTCCGTGGTGAGAATTTGTTTTTCACAGATGTGTAGGCAGATAAGCATAGAGCAAGGCATGTAGTTGAATCTCTGTAACCTCTCAGTATATTAAAAGTCAAAGGCTGTGGTTTGGACATTATAGACATCCAGCTTTAGAGTTCAAAAGATCAAAAAAGCAGTGGTCACAAAGCACTGACCCTTTTTGAAGGTAGACTTTATGCCAGATCAGCTATCATCAGTCTAGAGGTGCTTGTCACAGTTAGCTGGAGCTAATCTAATTCCATATTGCTGTCAAAAGGGATCAGTCCCCCCTGTCTGCATGTTCTCCTCCAGAACTGAAGCAGTCATGTCAGCTGGCTTAGGGAGCTGAAGTCCCTGAAAAACAGTATTGTAGAACAGGTCCTTCCTTGGGGATTGGTAAGCTGCATGTGCTGGCACACAGGAAGACTTGGATAGCAGTAGCCAGAAGCAAGGTGAGCAAGACCACTCTTTGCAGTGGAGGCATGGAAGTAGATCGGTTGATACTGCCACATTCTCTGACATTACAGTGCTAAGAAGGCTCAGATGATTTCTGTGCTCCAATATAAACTTCAGATCATGTCTCCTGGCTTGGTCAGTAGAAATACTATTGCCCAAGGCTGACTTGAATCGAATTAACATGATTCACTAGTGCATGGGTATGGTATTAATTATTGCAGAACCCTAGATTTGCTTAAACAGTTCTCTAAATCCCAAATGACCTGTTTCCATCTTTAGGTATCTAAAATACTTTTTAAATCGTGCTCCTTAATCCTGTGGACAGACTGCAGGTAATTATTAGGACTCTGCTCTCTTGTTGTAGCTGTTGGGCCAGGCTATAGGCTGGCTCAGCCTGAGCATTGGGCTGATGGGGTCCATCTGTCAGAGAAGGGGAAGAGCATCTTTGGTCATAGGCTTGCCAAGCTGGTGAAGAGGGCTTTAAACTAGACATGCTGGGGGAGGGGAACCTCCATCCATCCCACTCCTACCAGTTTGATGCCAGGGCCAGCAATAGACGCCCAGAGCCTGGAGAAGGAACACAGGTCAGCAGGAGAGCGCCTGAAGAGCAGCACAAAGGAACTCCAGCCAGTAAGACTG